GAATGAGGTGCTTAGTCTACATTATGAATCATTTGTGATAAGAATCAAACCAAATTAACGGATAATCGGTGGAATTGTCAATCAGTTACAGTAGTGATTTGGTTCTTTTGTTTGGATGACTAGAGTTGGAATGAACCTTTTTACCAATTTGACGCGAAATCAGTTGAACTATTCTGATTACCGGTTTACTAGTTCACTATTATTACCACAAAAATACTTTGATGTAACCTACGACCATCCAAAATGAATTATAATTTTGTTTATACTTTCTCTTCTTCGCCTCCCCGCCTCTTTGACAGCTTTTTTTTAACCATCCAAAATGAATTTTAAATTTTGTTTATACAACCTCTTATTTGCCTCCCCACTCTTTGTCATCTTTTTTTATAATGGTGATTGAATTAAATGAAATAAGAAAAACGAGACAATTCTACAAAAGCATCCAAATGGCTTCTTGGGTTCACAAGATTTGAACCACAAAAGTGCCAAGAGTACATAGAATCAAAAAGGAAAAAACAAGTCCGGGGAACCACCTTAGTAGAACAAACCGCTCCTACTCTTGATGAAAACCCAAAACACATAAGTAAATGAGAAATAAAAACGACTAGATTGAGACAAAATTTATGATAGAGATATTTCATTCAAATAAATGTGAGTATTCCAGCCAACTGGCCAGGTCCAAAGTAGTTTTATTTATGCACTTGTTGCTGATGTAATGGAATTTCAAACCCCAACTATGTTCCTATTAATTCAGGAGATTATAAATAAATGAATAAATAAAAAGTCTTTGACAACCACTCTAGTTCAGCAATGGTTAGTGAAGAGGAACTTGCTCCTGAAGTTTCTCTATTGTTGTTAGTTGTTAGTAGTGGAATGTTGCCCACCTTTGGCAGTTCCTTATTTCACTCCATTCAGTTTCAGTTTATCCCGCAGAACTCTGCTGCTATGTACTATAAATCTCTCGATTGAATAATGAAAAACTCAAGTCTTGGGGTTTTTATGGTATCAGAGCCCTTAATACTCTAACGAGTCAATTTCCTCCTCTCTTCCTCTTATCATCGTTTTTTTCTTCTACCCATTTCTTCTTCCACAATGGACACTGAGTTAGCTTCTGTTTCTGCTACTTCGGTCTCAATTGATTCCACCATCATGCCTGTGTCGTCGCTGTCTCTCCCGACCAATCCACAATTGTCCGTCAAACTCACCCCGACGAACTACCTTTAATGGCATGCTCAGATAACTCCTCTTCTTCGATGTCACCGGCTGATGGGTCAGGTCGAAGGCACCCTCCCAGCACCGCCCCAGCTCGTCGACGGCAAACCCAACCCCGCCTACTAGGTTTGGTATGATCGTGATCAATAAGTTCTCACGTGGATCAACCTATCTCTTTCTGAAGTCGTTCTGTCGTATGTCGTCAACAAGGTCACCGCCTTCGATGCGAGGTCGACGCTGGCCACCATTTATGCATCTGGCTTCGCTATTCAGGTTCGGCAGCTTGTCAAGACCCTGCAAACCATTTGTCGGGGAGACGCCACCATTCATGCCTATCTCCAGGATGCCAAGTCTAAGGCCAATCAATTGGCAGCCCCGGGCTCTCCCGTCAAGAACGACGATCTCACCGGCTGGATTCTTGATGGTCTTGATGAAGATTATCGTCCTTTTTTGCGCCATATCGAAGCCCGAATGGCTCCGATCAGTTTTGAAGATCTTTCATCCCTTCTGCTCAGCGAGGAACTCCAAATCCAACGTTACTCATCGCGCTCTAATTCCCCATCGCTGGCTGCCTTCTTCTCTAGCTCTGGTGGTTCCCGTGGCAGAGGAAGCCGCGGCCGCGAACGCAGCTCTTTCCGTGGTGGCGGCGGCCATTTTATTCTAACCATCTGCATTTTTTCCTTCTATTGGCAGGTCGAGCACCGCTGGAGGTGTACTTGGGCCTAAGCCCGCAGGGCCCTTGGTCATTTGTCACAACTGTGGTGGCAGAGGCCATATTAAGCCCCACTCCCCAAGCCCCACCCAACCCTAGCCCACCAGATCCTCCCAGCCTACCCCATATGGTGCTTCTGTTCCACCCTACAGCCCCCATGCCATGTACTCCTCATCACCCGCCCATGCTTTTAATCCTCAATAGTGGCTCCTCGATTCCGGCACCAATCATCATCTTACATCTGATTTAGACAACCTCGTTCATCATTCTGAATATAATGGGATAGATAAGGTCACTTTTGGAAACGGTAACTCCCTTCCCATCTCGAGTTTTGGCTCCTCCGACACTTCTTTGTCTGACACTCAAATCTCGTTAGATAATATTCTTCATGTTCAACATGCTCCATACAATTTGCTTTCTATCAATTCTCTCACTTGGTCTAATCCCATCTCCATCAAATTTTTTGACTCACTTTTTCTTATCAAGGACCAACGCGCGGGGCATGAACTTTATTGAGGCTATGCGGTGGACGGTCTCTACTCCCTTCCATTGCATATTTCTCGTCACCTTTCTCCAATTGCTTGTGCGGCTTCTCTTGATGTCAGGCATCGTCGTCTTGGTCACGCCAATGAACGGACCGTCAAGCTCTTCATCGCATCAAATAAAATTTATTTCCTCTCCTCCTTCTTTGTGTCTTGGTTGTGCTGTTAGTAAAATTCACAAGCTTTCTTTTTATGATCATTATAGCAAATTCTCCTGGATTTATTTCATTCGTTATAAGTCTCAGCTGCTTATTATGTTCATTCAATTCCATCAATTGGTAGAAAAAAATTTCGGTCTTCCCATCAAATCCTTCCAATCTAATTGGGGAGGTGAATATCAAACTTTATCTACCTATCTCGCTAAACACGGCATAGCACATCGGTCCTCATGCCCCTACACTCCATAACAAAACGGGTGTGCCGAACGAAAGCATCGTCATATTGTCAATAATGGACTTGCTCTTCTTCATCATTCGAGTGTTCCACAAAAATATTGGACACTTGCTTTTGACACTGCCTGTTATATTATTAATCGCACTCCCACACCTCTGGTACACAATTATTCTCCCTTTCACTTTCTTTTCTCACAAATCTCCTGATCTCTCTAATCTTCGGGTTTTTGGTTGCCTATGTTATCCATGGCTTCGTCCCCTAGCAACAAACAAACTTGCTCCTCGTTCGGTTCCCTGTGTTTTTCTTGGTTATAGCAAACTCCATAAAAGTTACCGTTGCCTACACATTCCGACTGGTCGTCTCTATGTCTGTCGTCACATTTTGTTTGATGAGACCCGTTTCCCATTCGCTGAACTATCTGCTTCCCACCCACCTATCCCTTCTTTCTATAAACTCACTATCCTTCCACCTCTCCCATCGCAAATACACACCTCAGTCAGCAACTCCCAGCCCACTGCATCTCCTCAGCCCAACGCTATTCTCACTCACAAACACCCGGCCCACCAGAACCTCGGCCAACCTCTCCTCCTCAGCCTCACACCGACCCTCGTCCACTCGACCCATCAGCTCGCTCCTCTCAACCCGATCCACCCCTGCCCTCGTCCTCCCCTTCTCCCGCTGTCGCCCGTTCCCCTGCTCCTCCTCGGCCACTCCTCCAATATCAATGCCGTCGACCCTCCACTATGCCTCCTTTCCCTGTTCTCCCATTCAATCCGTCAAACCCCATTCCCCTAGTTTCCTCTTCCCATCTCGCCATCAACCCTAATCCCACTCCTCTACCTCCTCGCCGCCCACTTCCGAAGCGGCCACCTTTCAATACTTCCCCTCGCCCCCTTCCTATTGTCAATCCCACAAACTCTACCCATCCCATGGTGACCCGAATCAAATCTGGGCACATCAAGCCTCGCAGCCTTCTCTCCCACCTGCACATTGATGACACACCCACCACTGTGACTCAGGCTCTCAAACTCCCCCACTGGCGCTAGGCCATGGCTGATGCAGTTACTGCTCAGCTATGGAATAACACGTGGGACTTGGTTCCACGACCACCTAATTGCAACATCCTCTCCAACAAATGGGTTTACCGCACTAAACTTCATCCCGATGGAAAACTGGACCGTTGTCGCGCTCGTCTTGTAGCCCGTGGATTCGAATAGATACCGGGTCCGGACTTTCATCAAACATACAAGCTGGTTCTGAAACCTGCTACTCTACGGTTAATCTTTGGTATTGCAGTTACCCAGAGCTGGCCCCTACACCAGATTGACATAGCTAACGCTTTTCTACATGGTGAGTGCAGGAAATAGTATATATGCAGCAGCCACCTGGATTTGTTGATCTGGACAAACCTGACCATGTTTGTCGCCTTCGGAAGTCCATCTATGAACTACGTCAAGCTCCCCGAACATGGTTTCACGGTCTTGCTGCTGCACTCTCTCGGTTCGGCTTCACTGTTTCCCGAACAGATCCGTCCCTATTTATCTACAAGTCCGGTGCCACTCGCTTGTATATGCTCGTCTATGTTGATGATATAGTCATCACGGGTAATGATTCTTCCATCATACAACGCCTGTTCACTTTCCACCGTGACAATTTTGCTCTCCGGGAGTTGGGACCGCTATCTTACTTCCTCGGCATTGCAGTGCATAGAACAACAACAGGTCTTGTCCTCAGTCAGCAGAAGTTTATTCACGATCTGCTTGATCGTGCTCAAATGTCTAATGCCAATACCATCTCTACTCCATGCACTGTTGACATCATATAGCAATCAGCCATGGATTCTTCTCCATTGTTCGTCGACCCTGTTCTGTATCGCAACATTGTCGGCGGATTGCAATACCTCAGCTTCACCCGCTCGGATATTTCCTTTGCGGTCAACCACGTCTCTCAGTTTTAGCACTCTCCAACAGACAACCATTGGGCCGCTGTGAAGCGAATACGTCGCTACCTTCGGGGGACTCTTGCTCGTGGACTTGTTTTCTCAAAGTCTCCCTCACTCCATGTCCATGGCTATTCGGATGCGTCGTGGGCCTCTTGCCCCAAGGATCGCAAGTCTATCACTGGGTTCGCAGTTTTCTGTGACACGAAACTTGTGTCCTGGTCCACTCGCAAGCAAAAATCAGTTGCTCGCTCCTCTATCGAATGTGAATATCGTGCTCTCGCCACACTTGGTTCTGAGGTACTTTGGTAACAGACTTTACTTCATGAACTAGGTCAATCCATTCCTACTTCTCCGACTCTGTGGTGTGACAATCTTGGTGCGACGTTTCTTGCTCATAATCCGGTGTTTCATAATCGGTCTAAGCATATGGAGATAGAATTCCATTTTGTCTGTGATCAGGTCAGCAAAGGTCAGCTACGTGTGCATTACTTATCAGCCCCTGATCAACACGCAGATGTGCTGGCCAAGCCTTTACCAGTCCTTCAACAAGTTTTGACTCACCGAACTTTCACTTGCGGGGGCGTGAAGAGGAACTTGCTCCAGAAGTTTCTCTATTGCCGTTAGTTGTTAGTAGTGGAACGTTGCCCACCTTTGGGAGTTCTTTATTTCACTCCATTCAGTTTCAGTGTATCTCGCAGCACTCTGCTGCTATGTACTATAAATCTGTTGATTGAATAATGGAAAACTCATGTCTTGGGGTTTTCAGTTAGATTGTGAGCCGAGGAGGTAGAGCTTAGAGCACAGCTGCAAAAGAAGTGGCTGAACCAACGCAACGCAGCCATGGCTTCAATGATGGCAACCACAGGCGCCTACCTCCGCAGTCAATACTGGAGACCGCGCCGCGAAAACTATGGCAAAGCTGGATTCAGCCGCCGTTTCCTGCTTTGTCAGCAGCAGCAGCAGCAGAAGCAGCACGACCCCACAAAACCCACCGCACAAATTGCTCGAAGGTACTTGTTTATCTTATCCATTACAGAATACAAGTTGTAATATATGTGCTTACGATCCCGCTGTGGATACACCTTCCTGATTTAGGGAGATTCTTCTGAGGAGCAGCGAATTGGCGGTGGTTGGGGCGATATTCAATCTCAGGCGAGTTTCCTTTTGCTGAGCTGATTGAGATGGATTCAGGTTCTCTTTCCATTTTCTAGCCCGCCCACCGCTGAATGGAATTGGAAGGAGTAGTACTTACATAGTTATAATACATTGCAGCGGGAAGAAGCCAGATTACCTCGGAGTTGGGAAGAAGCAGCAGCAACTGGCGCTTTGCCCGGCCACCAACAACTGCATCTCCACGTCCGAGAATGTCAGCGATTCCGCCCACTACGCTCCTCCTTGGTACACAACCAACCCAACCAAAAAGATGCAGTGAATAGCGGTAAGCCGCCTGTGTTGATGCTAGTGATTTGGGTGCTTATGTTGATAGGAACTACAATGGCGGCAGGCCGCAGGCCGTCAGCAGACAAGTTGCGATGGACGAGCTTGTACAAGTGGTAGGGTAGGGTAGCGGAGGCTACCACATTCTTTTGTTCATTCCATTGTGATTGCAGCCCTCTTCCTTGCTTGCTACTGGACAGTGGTTGGGTTTTGCAGATAAAAACCACGACGCCGGACAAATACAGCGCACGGATTGTGGAACAGAATAGCGATTATGTGCACGCTGAGTACGCAAGTCCTATCCTAGGGGTATGCCCTACATGTCTGTCGAGTCAAATGCCCTATAAATTGGAAAGGAACGCCCAACTGAAATTCACATTTCTTCCCTCCAGTTGGTTGACGACGTCGAGTTCTGGTTCCCACCAGGTAGCAAATCAACTGTCGAATATCGTTCTGCATCAAGATTGGGGGACTTCGACTTTTATGCCAACCGAAAACGAATCAAGGTTAGTTCAGCCTCTGTCAAAAGTTTCTTTTTTGCTTACATACCTCATTTTCCCCTATTCTTCCTGCCACCCATTGCAGGCTCTGAGGCAGGAGCTGGAGAAGAAGGGATGGACTTCTGAAAACCCCTTCTGAATCCCATCCCTTTGACAAATAGAGTGACATGGAAACAACGCTTAAATTCCATCACCACAACGCAAAAGCTTCTGACTCACCATGTCAAAAGCACAATCAACAGCTCTTTACTCCTAAAACGTCAGCTGCTTACAGTCTAAAGTTTGAAACAAAGCCAGCGCATAAATATCACTTGTCTCATTTTGTATCATCTTTTTAGAAAGAGCTACACCACCCTTCCATTCCATGATAACCCTCCCCTACAATGGCCATTCCATTAGCCTCAACTCTTCTAAGACAGACCACCGGTCTAGTCTCGTCTCAACGGCATAAATTCTCGATGAATGCCACCGGCATTGAGCACCACTATCTCAAGATTGTCCCCCTGCACCAGGAAAATGATGTATGTGTTGTTCAGATAAAATCTTATGTGATCACTGGTCACAAACCAAAAATATGACACATTGCATTTACACATATATGATGCCCCCCAAAAGATCAAAACTTTTACTGATTAGCAAATCAGCATGCGACATTCTCCACATTCCCCAGAGAAGGCATTACCGGAAGAAGGAAAAAAAAACATCAAATAAACCATACATTTTGGTAGAAACTAGACCCGGGAACTTACAGTGTGGATGTCTCTCTCAGTTGCAGAAGCGAAACAAGTTTTCACCAAATCAATTGCTTCAGATTGTGAAAGTGGAGTCACAGCATCCTGGAAAACAATAGCTTATCAAGTGATATGTAGAAAGAATTACCACTTCATGAGTGACATAAAAGGGGATTATGTTTAGGGTTGGACCTGTGCAGGCAGCAAGAGAGGGCTTGGAGACTTCAACTGGTTGTCAAGGAAAGGCATGATAAGCACAGAACCAGAGCCCTGGGCGCTGTAACCGACCCTCTCATAGGAACCAACCGCATCGTACGTGTAAACACATCCCTTTCCTAAGGTGTCATAAAGAATGTATCAAGTGGCTGACACAACGCTACATAGTTTAATATCAATCCACCACCATATCAATTTACCTTCGTTATCAAGGCCACCTAGAACATTAAAGGTGTAGTAAGGGAAGAAGCGTTTGTAGTACAGAGTGTTGGATAGTAGTTGACCCATTGCAGGGCAGCTCATTTGCTTGTTATGTTGATGTTGATAGATCTGCAATTGAAATAAGGGTTCAGCAAATAAACAAAGTAATCCTAATTTAAGACTTCTCATTTTCTTATTTACTGAAACCACATTACAAAATAAAAGTTACACTATGTTATGAAGCCTACGCTCCCAATCCAGTATATTCAAACCAAAACTATTCCACTCACGGTTCAGTAACTCTGTATAGACTGGAGAATAGAGCATTAATTAATTAAAGGTTAAATACACTTGTATATCCAAAAAATTTACGGTTGTGCCAATAATATCCAAATTTCCCGAAATACCACGTATATCCAATTCCTTCACATTCTTTAACGGTGTTTTTGGATATACAAGTGTATTTAACCAAAAGTATATTGGGAAATGGATAGATTTGGAAAAGAACAACTTTAAAACATGGATGTAAGTGGTATTTCGGAAAATTTGGATATTATTGGCACAACCGTGAAAGTTTTGGATATACAAGTGTATTAAACCTTAATTAAACCACATTTCCTGAGCACTACAGAGCTCGGTGGCAAAAAAAAGCTAAGCAAATAATACTTGGATGATATCGCAACCATGTAATTGACGATATATGTTCCGAGTCACTCACCAGGTGCCTGGCGGCCAACAACTTTTGCAAGGCCTTCATATCAGCTTGAAACCCGGAAGAAGCTAATATACATTTGTCCGCTCTGAAAGCAGAAGACAGTCACAGAAGTAAGGCACTATTAGAATCGCCCCCATCGCAGGAAAAAAGCACACTAGCTAAGCTGGTCGTAGGTAGAGCAATGATTTCTCATCTGAACTATGCAGTATATGATATTATTCAGAACTAGACACTTCACAAAGCCAAATTCATAACCATGAATGAGATTAGATACTGAGTTCCAGTTTACAAGTCAACATACCAAAAGTACATAAAGCATGATTCGCACGCTCAATTGCTACCAATGCCCTTGTTAGAAGCCTGATGCCTGACTCGGATTAAGATCTCAACTAAGACCAGATTAGTTCCTAATTACAGCGTAAACCAAAATTCTCCATAACCCACACGCACAATACAACAACAACGAGAAAAGAAACCTAGAGTATCTACCCATTGCCAAACTCATGTATCCGACACATTCCAATTGACACCACAAGGAATCAAACCTACCATTCTTAAACCACGAGAAGCGGGGGTAAATGACAAATTGAGCTAAGGAAGAAAATCGAGGCTCGAACACCTACAGCTTGTAGATTTTGGAGTGATCCCGGGTGAGAATATTGTAGCCTGTGGACATCCGAGTATCCGAAGCGATAACGCAGTAATCTGCTCCAGCAATCGCAACACAGGATCTAACAAACATCCGCGGCAGAAAGCAAAAGCATTCAGCAAAACATAAAAGAATTCGCCGTTGAAAGACGTTAAAGAACAGGTAGGTAAAACAAAAAGTAAAACCAATACCCGCCGTTGTTGTCGTACGGAGAAAATCTGGACATGGTGTAGTATCCAGATGAAATCAAACAGAACTGAGATTGAGCGTCTAGGGTAAACACAGTAGCTGGCTACTAGCGAGGAAAGAAGAAGGTCTCGACGAACCAGTTATATTTTGTTTCTTTTAGATCTATCGGCCCTGTCTTTGGCTTCAAGAAAAGCCTAACCGGAAAGGTCCGTCCCTTACGGTGTCGTCGTTGGTGGGCTACGGCCTACGAGCCTACGACAGACTGTGTTAGGTCGGTATTATGTTATATGTATGGGCTGAGCCTAATTTATGGGGATAAGATTTTGCAAAACAAAGAATTGGTTTGGTTTTGGTGATAGTTAAAATGATATATTATCATTAATGGATGTATAATAATATATGTATATATAAAAAATGGTGTAATGTAGTTTACATTATTTGCAGGAATGGCAATGGGGCAGGTCTGAGGCGGGTTTCTTGGTACCCAGACCCGCCCCGTGGCAGGTCGGGTAATTGATCACGGGTCGCGGGTCGGGGCAGGTCGACCTAATGGGTATGCAATTTATATTAAAAACATTAGAAATATTCGTTATTTTTATTATAAGACTAAGAAAACAAACAATATTATGACAATTGTAGTTAAATTATTGGAGAAATTGAGGTTTTCACTAATTTACAACTTTCTTATAGCTAAAATATGATGCAATAAAAGGAAAATCCTAAATAATTTGACTGAGATTACATGTAATTTAGACAAGAACGGGTCAAGAATGGGGCGGGTTAGGGCAGGTCAGGTCGATGAGACTACCCATTCCCGCCCCGCCCCGCCAACGGGTCAGGTCGAAATTGCCATCCCTAATCGTTTGGTTTATGTGTAGTTATTATAATTTTAAATCATTTACCTTACTTTTTGAGTGAAATGTCACTTTTTCCCTTTGTTTTTAATATGAAAAAGCAACACACATAAGAAAGTAGGTTCATAGTTGGAATAAAAACAAAACCCAACAATCTCAACCAAATAATCTCAACAATCTCACCCAAAACTTGAGATTTAACTATCACTCATTTTGAGTGATAGTTTGTGTCAAATCAAGCAAACAATGCTTGTATTCTTTGTGTAGAAAATTCAGAAAAACGATGCATTGTGGACAGTGCCTATATTGTAACTATCTCAACCAAACTATTACCAAAACGAAACGACCCCTTAGTACTTACTCTTTGAAATTTGGACCTCAATTAAATCAATAGTTTAGGGTTGGAGTGAGGTTCATAATGATATGCTTGCATATGACCTAAAGAGGCAAGATGATATGCAACTGCATTCACTTCCTAAACACATTGATCATATCAACCTGCCAAATTTAAGACAAAAGTTTTCGAGCCGCCACTATCAAGATAGTGGCGGCATGGTATACTAATTTGGACCAACAGGTTGGACCGAAAAAACTAGAATCATGCCTAGTTTAGGACGGTATGTACTAATCTGGTCATTTGTCACGTTGCTCAATATCTACGATCAAATCATCGAACCACAAGATATCAGTCGTCTTTGGTCCAACCGGGTCGCTCATTGAAATAAAATAACTTTGTTTAGCTCAGAACAACATCGTATTTTTTATATAAAACAAGAAAAAAGTTATCAAATTGACAAAGACAAACCCTAAACTTAAATCCAATTTGATAGTTGAGTGATTCTCCCCTTCTCAACATAATAGAAGATTTCAGCATTCCCTCTCCCTCACTTCACATCAGCCGCCTACCTACTGTCAAATTGATAGCAACTCGTTTTCCTCGAGTTAGGGTTGCTTGTAACTCACAAGCGAGAGAATGACTTTGGCGTCGAAAGACCTTTTCTTATTAATTCGATAACCGGCACTAACACCGAACATACATATTTATAGGGTAGAAACAATAATACCCGACTAGGCCCTCTCGGCCCCTACCCCTAATCCGCCACCCTTAAGAAGCCCAGTTTCTCATGGATTACGTACTAGGCCCTAACCGACAATATAATACTAACCGAACAAGTCTGAATCCATAACATAATAATAATAATATGCAAATTGTAAATAACAATTAAGCCTGCTGGACTACAAGTTGTTATCATTCCTTCCCCAATTCAACCTTGTCCTCAAGGTTGACATTCAACCTCCTCCTCGAACAAGCACATAATCTTGGTCGTGTCGCACTTGTGCCCTATTGTAAATCGTTCATCACAATTGAAGCATAACCCTTGAGCGCGATGCAGCTGCTGTTCTTCCCAAGTCAACCTCCTGCCTCTCGTTTCCTGTCGCGATGGTCCCGCCCCTGTCGTCGCGGTTGCAGCCCGCGTTCTTGTTGATCCACCTCCAAACCTGCGGCCACAGTAGTCGGCGATGGATAGGATGTCGCGCGACCCGTTGACGGCTTGTGCCGTTGTAATTGATCACTCTTCATCCACGCCAGGCTGATTGCATCGTAGAGAGATTGAGGTCGAAACATGCGAATCTCATCCACAATTTCTGACTTGAGGCCACCCAGATAGGTTCCCACCAATGCTTGCTGCGTCCAGCCGACGCAACGATTAGCAAGCTTTTCAAACTCGCGCTGGTACCCCCTGGAGCGACCTTGTCTGGCAGATGCGAGAGAGAGCTTCATCGCAGCTTTCACGCTCCGTCGGCCTGAATCGCGCCCACAGCTCCTACGCGAATAGCTCCCACGAAATTGGCTCTCCGGCATCCTTGTACGTCCGCTTCAGCCACGCGCACCACTGGTTCGCCTCGCCTTCCAAATGGAATGACGCCAATGCTACTCGTTGTTCCTCCAGGACCTCTTGGTACTCAAAAAACTGCTCGACACGTGGAAACCAAACCCA